AGGTCAGTCGTTGTAGGTTGCGGATGTGAGCGGCGAAGCGATTTGGGAGGTCGAGGCTGTGTGTTGGTTTGAGCAGGTTGTATGCGGAGCTGGTTCTTTTATGCTTCTGACGAGGGCGTTTTGAGGGAGGAGGAAGTCTGCGAGGGAGCTTCGATCGCCGTGAGATATGTGTCCTGAAGACCGCGTGACTTGCTGGCAGTGAAAGACTGTTGTTTGACGTGTGGACTTTATTGTCTGAATCGAACTGAAGAGGGGCTTTTCGGGGACTTCAAGGATAGAGAATATGCGGAGGAAAGGAAAGTGTGCTAAGGATGAAGTAAATCTCAAGATGTTAAGGTGTATTCTTCCGAAGAACGTGTCATGGTAGGGGGAAAGCAAGAAGATCCGCAGAATTGTAGGAGAATGTAGTGTGGTGGGATGAGAGGTGGGTTGAAACCATTTCCTGGTTCTATTTTAAGTACGAAGCAAGTTCCAGTCATACTTCCGTTAAGCAAGGCGGTGATGGTGCTAGTTAGCCTTGGGGATTAATTGTTTCCATTCTGATGCGTCCAGTGTTGCTCATAGGGTCAACCTGATCGCTATGGTTTTTCAACGTTTTGACCATACACGCTTTGGTAAGCATGGTGTTTGTTGTGTAGTTGTTTTTCGCATCCACGCTGATTTTTTTGACACAGCTGTGCAATAAAAGCAGGAGAAAACTAGACTGGGAATTGAGTCAAACCTGTTTCACGAACTCGCTTTGTTTCTTCTGTGTCAGCCTGTTCTTAACAGCAAGGGTTCTTTAGAATGACTTGTAAAGCTGTTCTTGAAGTATGTGCTTTGTGCTCATTAAGAATTGTTCACGAATTTTGCAATATTAGCTCTCCACTGCTGTGACTTGCGATTAGAATTTAGGTTTTTTATTAACATATGTTTCTCATATTCCTGTTGCCATTTGATTTATACACGTGATATAGACGACTATTTAAGCTCATGTGGTCATCAAGGATTATATAAATTTTCTTTGCACAGTTTTACTTGAAATATTTTCAGTGTGAACGCAGAATCACCCATTCTGCAATATTGATGCTCTCTGCTGCTATGGATTAGGATTAGTTTTAATTTTTTTATTAATTTCTTTTTTCACAAATTCCAACTGCTTCCATTTGGTATGTGTAGTTGATGTGGTTTAGTATTTAAGCTAGTGTGACCATTTTTTTATTTTTTAACTTGTCTTCTTTCTGTCTTTCTTATTGGTTGATTTGGAGTCCATGTCCGCAACACTATGGATTTCAAGTTCATGCTTAAGAACGTAAGGGACGGATGCGTTTTTCTCTTACTGGAAACCAAATCAGAAAATGAAGCAACTTATTCAGTGTTTCAAAAAATATGCAATTGTATGTGATGTACTATCATTGTTATTGTAATATGATTTTCTTTCTTTTCTTTTCTTCTTCTCCCCAAAACAGTTTTTTTGCTTTTCTATATAATATGGCGGATTTTCAAAAAACAATTCCCATAAGATTTTTTTGAAGTAACCTAATTTAAAATTTTCTATTGAACTTCAAATTTTAAATTAGGTTACTTTAACTTGGTCTTTTTTAATATTAAGTTTTTTCCCTTAAGATCTATTACTCCTCGTATGATAGCTTTTTATATTTCATTCTAATTTACTTCTAAAATATTTTTGAAAATATATTATTTTCCTATTATTTTCTCCAATTGACACTGAGACTTTTGAAAATATCCTTAGCTTTGATATTTTAGATGTCATATAACATTGACTTATAGAAAGATTAGTAGAAGATGGACCACACTTTATTAGAAGAATAGAAGATGGAATATCTAAGAATTACAATCTTATTAAATCTTCTTTATTATCTGCTTGTACTTGCAAAGTGTAGAAAGTAGGAATTGAAGACACATGTGGTAAAAAAAAAATGATTGAAGATTATATAAAAATGAGCCTTAAATTCTATTCTTTGATTTTTTTATAACTAAATAATGAGTAAAAAGCCTATCTTGTAAGACTAACTAAATAATAGTATTAGGAGCATATTAATAATATATTTCATTTAATAGTTTAAACTCTCACATTCTAATCATACTTATCTAACGTATCTATAATTTCTTGTAAGTTATTGGATTTTTTTAATATATTTTTAAATATATATTTAATTTTATTAAAAATTTAAGAATTAGACTTAAAATTTTTTCTTTTATTTAATTCCTTATACATTGCACCAAGTTTTGATTTAATTTTATAAATTTAAGAATTAGACTTAAAAAAATTTAAGTCTAATTAAAATTATATTATTTATATATTTTTTCTAATATAAATATAAAATTTGGTTTATTTCTTTTTTCTCTCTAATGCTAAACTACATCTATTAATGTATGTCTTTTATATTTTTACATTTACATAATTGTCTTGGTTTCTCAACTAGTCTAAAAATATAGAATGTAAAAAAGAATTTTATTTTTTATATTGTGTGGCTTCTTTTGTTGTATTTAATTCCATTAATATCTAATTTCTTATATAAAATATATTATGATACTATATAATATGCTCTAAAAGTTCCACTTGTAGATGTAATATAATTGGCTTAAAAATAATTCAAAAAAATCCAATATTGCATAATTTTAGAATATTTCAAAAATGGTATACTTCAAAGATTAGGCTTGAATATTTGTATAGAGTGTTTTCTAACTCCAAAACCATTAGTTCTTATAATTAGAGAAAAAATGGTTTTAAATACAATTGAAAAGAACATTTCTTCATACAAGAATAATTAATACATATTATTTAAATTCTATCTTTTGTAATTATTTAAAATTTATATATTTATATATTTTTTAAATAAATATACAATATTTGCTAAAATGTAACACACAATTTACAGGTAGTTGTACAAGATACCAACTTAAAAAATGTTTGTAACACTTAAGTTATTTGTAAAAGTCTTGTCATTTCTTAAGGTTGAACACAGCACAAACCAAAGTGTTAGCTATTGTTTCTTAACACTTACATTTTAAGTTATTTTTTATTTTCTTGTACCTCTTTTTTGTAGTAGTTTGTAGGGACCTCCATTGCATGACAATTTTATATATTAATAAAGACTTTAGATTCTAAAACAATGTAATACAATACAATAATAATAATAATAATAATAATAATAATAAATCACCAATACAAATTGCATGAACAGTGTAACACAATAATAAAAAAATTAAGTACATGAAAGTTAACTATAATCTTACAAACATTGCAATCTACAAATGGTGTCTGCTTAGTTTTGGAAATTTGTTTGTAGTATTTTACAAATTTTTATCAAAAATCATTGGCATTATTCTTTAGTGTTCTATATATAAATATATATAACAATTACAGCTTGTTTGTAATTAAATGTAAATTTCGTATTGTATAAAAGAAAAATTGGAAGTATAATTTAAATTGAGACATGTATAGATTTATAAACTTAGTTTGCAATTACAGGAAAGAGTATTATTCCAAGATATTATGTAAGAATAAACAATAAATAAAATAAAAATAAATATTTAAGTTTTATCATCACAAGGCCACATCATTTATCCATTATGTTGAATGATTAACAGAATCATTCAATTCAGAGTCTCAGTGGGTGGATAAATAGGAACCCAGGTATCAACCCATCGATGCTGCAGAAGTTCGGTACAAGCACGACCATGCATTTGTTTCGTTAACAATACTTCAGTCTCTCGTTCATGCACTTTGTTTTGGACATTTAAATGCAGTCTCTCTCGTTCATGACGAGAACGATTGAACGGATTTCGAGACTTGCCACAGCGTTGCTTCTCGCCATGGAAGACTAGCAGGAATCGAACAGATTGGGCGCCACCTGCGTTAGCTGCTGAGTTTGTTGCTCTTTGAAGCCATGAAAAATCTATGAGTAGTGAATGACAACCTCGAATGCTGAGAAACGAGTTTCCACGCTCATGTCCGGAAGTCAGCATAAAAGTGTGAATGGATTCCTCACTTGTGCCATCGTTGCTAATCAGACTCGCTCTGGCTCAATTTTTCCAAGGTCACTCGCCGGTTAACTTGCACGTCCAATATTTTCCACGACGCGCTTTCGTTCCGCTTGGAGATTACGACTATGGTGCGTTGCGCATGGTGTTGTTCTGGCGTTCACGTAAACTGAAGAAACATTATTCAGCCCCTCGCTTAGGTATCACGATCGCTTCCACCGCGGAGGACGAGGATCTAGAGCCGCACCCAGAGTGGGCTTCATAGTCTGAGAGGATGCGATTCTCGCCGAACTCGTGGCAATCTTCGAAGGTCGTCGCGATTTCCATGGTGAGTCCGGACAAGACCGACACCGTGTTGCAAATTAAGGCGGCGGTCATCCCTTGTTTGACCGAGGAAGCCAGCCGTCTGCGTCGAGTTTGATCACAAATAAGGGAACCCGTATTGCTTGTCTAATGAAGCTTTAATGTTGACCTTGAATAGGATTAGCAATATTTTTCTTGATTAAGGGTGTTGAAGTTATCAACCATACAATTAGGAGGAGATACAGGATTTCAGAGTCGTGTGTGTGCGCACAACAATTTTGCTTTAATTTTATGGATGTAATTACCTTAATGTGTATGTATTAGTGTCCAATTTTAGTATTAACATCACCGAATTGAATTAGTCTGAAAGTCATAGAATCTGTAACAACATCATGTGCAGAGTTTAATCAAAAATTAAGTTATTGTTTTACTTTTACTTAACTTCTGATGAAAACAATGAAATATGTTACCAATTAGAGATGGTTTTTATCTCTTCTAGTTTATTATGTTAATTTATCCCCTCAACTATATATATATATATATATATATACACACATGTGTGTATATCTGAATTGGGTACTACGATGAGGAATATCAAGGTTCTGATACTAATAAACTTCGACGCAAACCCTGATGAGGTGAACATTTTGTTTTGAGGTTGGGCAACCTGCCCGCGGATGTGTAAAATTCCGAACCAAGCACCGGGCAGACAGTCAAAACAATAACTGGTCACCATGTCTGACTCCTTTGCCGCCCAGGCCCAAGACTTGGCTCCACAACAGGGCTACTACTTTTTTTCTAGCAGCTTGCTCTTGGCCCTGGAATCGCCGTCTCCGACGTCTCTTTGCAGCAATCAACCATGGATTCAGGTTTGTGCCCTTCTCATGGTCTTCGATCCATTTTTTCGCTTCTTTTGAGACCTATGTTAGGTGTTTCCGCGCACCTTGGACGTAGCTTCTTGCAGTAGCTTGCAACAATGGAATTGGAGAATTTTTGGGAGGAACGCAAGGAAATATTGCGGAATAGAGCCATGCCAATCGACGGAGCTCGTTTTGAGTCCTTGTGCGGATGCAGTGGCTGAAATTGACTCGAAGTTTTAATTTTAGGGTTTATCTCGTTTAGTCGTGTAAATCTAGAGGAGTGGTTCTGAGGTCTGTAATGTTGATTGAGGGGTTTGATTTGTATTTCTAGATCGGATATTGGTGATATTTAATTGGCCTGGACAGTACACGGTTGTGCACCAATTCGAGCTTGCATTATTATAATTCTTCGAAATTGCAGTTTATAGTTCGTCATCTATGGAAATTCAAGTGTACCAGTCGTGATAGCTTAGGGTTTCTCTTGCAGCAAGTTTTACAAAATTCGAGGTCAGTGGTTACCTATTTGCGTCATAATTGATTTGTCTTTTATATAATCGTTGTCCTTTTCGAATTTTAGGGTTCTTTTAGGGTTCAATACTTTGAAAAGCTGGTATTCCAGGAATGACATTGTGACTTCGTGACATATAGCTACTTGATCTCACACACTTTCAAGTGGGCTATCATTGATGAGATATATTCCACAAAATGAGGGAAAGCCGTACTGCTGAAGTACAGAAAGTGTGGTTTATGAAAGATATAACTATACTCAAATTCAACAGTTGCAAATAGTCTGTTGGAAAAGTTCAATGAATAAGGTGGCAAGTATTCGAAGATGGAGTAGCTAGTACGTGACAAGGATATACTTGAATCTGTGCGTGACGGTTATTGTACTAGGTATTGTAAGTAGCTCATGGTTTTCTTTTGATGGATGTCATTGCAGATGCGGATATGGAAGATTATGGCTTTGAGTATTCTGATGAGGAGCCTGAAGAGCAAGATGTTGACATCGAGAATCAGTACTACAATACTAAAGGTACATGCTGTCATGAGCCCCTCTTTACATAGAAGATGCCCTCGTAATGCACATGCTTCTCATAGACCTGGTGTGGCACGGTCTAAATTGCAATGTGGAATGCAGTGATTTCTGAATGATGATGCCAAAATTTTGCATTCCGTGTCTTACTGTGGTGCAACGGTTATAGGACTTGTGGAAGCTGATCCTGAAGGAGCGCTAAAGGGGTTTGCGGAAGTTGTGAGGATGGAAGGAGAGAAGGGGGAGTGGTAAGCTCTTATGTTTTCCTTTTTTTGTAATGATTTTCTAAGAGCCCCTCCCACGGAAATGACTGCGTGCTAAGGACATCCCGAGAAGTCTCGGCCAGCTTATGATTATTTTAGGAGGTATTGAAATTAATCTGTTGGACTTTCTCAAGTTGAAAAGTAGTCTAAGTGACCCGTGCAAACCATCTACGAAAACCTTTGCTCCATTAAATCGTTGCTTCACTGCTACTACTCTTACGTGTGGTAGATTTTGGTTGCAAAGCTGATTATTTGTTACGTTCTCAGGGGATTCAAGGCGCTGAAGCAAACAGTCAAGCTTCATTATCGGGTCGGTAATTACAAGCAGATGATGGATGCGTATAGAGAAATGTTGACCTACATCAAGTCGGCTGTTACTCGGAATTACAGCGAAAAATGTATCAACAACATCCTTGACTTTGTATCAAATGGCGCTAATCAGAACTTGGAGTTGCTTCAGGAGTTCTACCAGACCACTCTAAAGGCCTTGGAAGAAGCTAGGAATGAGGTCAATCTGCCACTCTATCACTTCATATCATGCCCGAATGTCCGGGAACCCAATGCTCTCCTATGTTCTATGATCTTTGTGCTCATTATAATTGTACAACCATCTATATATGTCGTCTATCATTGCATGTGACTCGATAAGTACGAACTTGCACTTGCCACTTTTTTGTTTACAACTTTCGTTTAATTATCAACGTTTTCACCTTGGAGTAGAATTTTTTTGCGTAATCAGGTTTGGGTTAGCTTGATTGGAGATCCATTTTCTCTCAAAACTGGCGTGCGTGATTGCCTCTGTCATCTTACATCAAGATAGGGCAAACTCAAATTTGTCATGCGCACCTCACTTCAGACCACTCTTTCAAAGATGATATAATCTTTGGATTGAAATCTACACCACACTTTACCACTTGCACTAGGTGTAACACTTGCAATCGTTTGGTCTGATTAAGCATTTATGTAGTTTTTCAGATAGCATTTGTTGGTTGTGCAGAGATTATGGTTCAAAACGAACTTGAAGTTGTGCAAATTGTGGTTTGATATGGGAGAATATGGTCGAATGAACAAAGTAAGTTAAATTACCATTTTATTCAGTTAGAATGGATTGTCGACTAGTGAGTGCATGCTATTATAACAAGCATGCACATGGCTTATGGTTTTCTTATCCTATTGCTGTGAACAGTTCATTCTTCAGCTCTGTGCCCTCAAATATTGTCCCACTTTATTTTTCAGTCTATAGAAAAATTAAGTTTTTGAAGAAGAAACTCCTTGGTATACATCAGTGTTATGTAGAATAACTTTTATAGTTGCACTGCATCGTCAGTAGCATCATATGTGATGCTGACCAATGGTCGTGTGTTTAGATCTTGAAGGAGCTTCACAAATCTTGTCAAAAGGAAGATGGCACAGATGACCAGAAGAAGGGCACGCAGCTGCTGGAAGTTTATGCGATTGAAATTCAGATGTATACAGAGACTAAGAACAACAAAAAACTTAAGGTTAGTTCAAGTGAAACCTTCAATTGAAATTCTGTGACCTAAGCTCTGCTACCAGATCTAGTGGAACTAAAAAAATTAATTATTCATTCTTGACATTGTAGCAATAGGATCTCGAAGTCGTTAGTGTTGGAATCTCGTATATTGGTATAAGAGTTAGTATTTATTCTTTTTAGCGTGAACCTTGCAGCAACTATACCTGAAAGCGCTGAACATAAAGTCTGCTATTCCGCATCCACGCATTATGGGGATCATCCACGAATGTGGAGGGAAAATGAACATGGCTGAGCGGCAGTGGGCCGTTGCAGCCACTGACTTTTTTGATGCATTCAAGAACTACGATGAGGCTGGTACCCACAGGAGAATCCAGTGTTTGAAGTATGTGAATTTCAAATTGCTTGTTCTTCAAGTTACTTGCTTCGAGCTGTGAGTCGGTAGTAATTGGAAGTTTTAGAAATAATTTGAAGTAACTGAAGTATGGTACAGGTGCACAGCGGCTGCGGATATCTGCCGACTTTGCAGTTGATTTAGAGTCGCTTCTGAATGGAATGACTCTTTTTCATGAAGGTTTGTGAATGGAACTGCAGGTACTTGGTGCTTGCGAACATGCTTATGGAGTCTGAGGTGAACCCATTTGATGCTCAGGAGGCTAAACCGTAAGTTTCTGAATTTTACTGATAGATGTAATTCAAACAGCAATTGAAAGTAGTAGACTTATCGATGTGTCGAGATGGTTTCCTTTTTACCATGAGCATTGCACTTTTTGTAAATTTTCAAGGGCTACTGCAGCAACTCCGGGGTTCCTTGTTTGTGTTTCTTATTTCTTTAATTGCTACAGATACAAGAATGATCCAGAAATTTTGGCAATGACAAATTTAGTGGCTGCCTATCAAAGGAATGAAATTCTTGAGTTCGAAAAAATTCTCAAGGTACATTCTTCTAGATTGGATTTGAGACATGTTCTTGGGGATTGTAGTTATGTTCGCGTTCCCTATGGTGTAAGGTATCTGACGTAAAATTGTGAGATTCTTTGTGGGGATCATATGATCATGCGTTATATGCATGGTACTTAGTCTGCTGTTTCGTTTTGGTGATGTTTTTGGCTTATAGAGTAACAGAAAGACCATAATGGATGACCCTTTCATTCGGAACTACATTGAAGATCTGCTCAGTAAAATCCGCACGCAAGTGTTGCTGAAGCTCATTAAACCTTATACCCGAATACGTATTCCCTTCATATCTAAGGTACACCTTTCGTATCATTTTTGTGGTTGTGAATATTTTCTACAAATAGATCTCCCATGGACAAGCCCTTTTCTAAAGTGTTACCCTTTTCTGGTATTTTAATATGAAGTCCGTTTTGCAGGCATGAAGATTTTTCAGCACACACAACTCATAGCAATGAACAGCATGGTGTGTTTAGTCTATTCCTTAAGTTGGTTGACTTGGACTAATTATCACTTGGCCCGCAGGAGCTGAACATACCTGAAAAGGATGTGGAGCAACTCCTTGTATCTCTGATCCTGGATAATAGAGTACATGGTCATATTGATCAAGTAAACCAATTGCTGGAACTTGGTGACAGGTACTTTATGTATGCAGTGCCTAAATCACAAAAGCCTTTTGAATGGTTGGACTTCAAATCGATGCAATGTTTAAGAACATTCCTTTGTAGCCTGATCGATTATTTGCATTTGTAGCCTTGATGAATAGCTTGCACAATTCTGACTCAGCATTCTGCCCTGATATGTGAGTTCAGGTCCAAGGGGTTGAGGAAATATACAGCGATTGATACATGGAACACTCAACTGAAGTCTCTCTCGCAAACAGTGACGGCCAGGATTGGTTAGAAACTTTCTCTAATTTAATTCTACAGCTCTGGCGCACACTAACATGTGCGACAACTTTCCGTCCATGTCTCTTTACTAGTGTACATTTTGGGGGTACTAGTCTGAACTACTTAGGGTTTCGTGGGATCAATATTTCACGTGAGAGAGGCCCCTTTCGGCGACCTTTTCATGTAGATTGAGTTGGCATACTGTTTTTGTAGGCGCCTGTGTTAGCCCACCAGCACTAGTTAGAAACGGAATACAATATTTTGATACGGTATAAACACCTGTTTCAAGGTGCTGATTCTGTTCTATGAATGGTGCAAGACACCTGCCCTTGTTAGCACACAATCACACAAATGGATTACCATAGCCCAGAAACTGAAGAAACTAAGCTGAGATTTAAGGGTAGTTTCGGCGAAGTAAAACATATTCGTATTTGCGAACTTCTGCTCACTACATTGGGAACAGGCTCAGCACGGTCTGGGCTGGATATTCCATGATCGTAGCTGGATCGAACAACTCTATGACATTTAAGACTCTTGGAGCCTCATATCCCTATTTTTGGAAATTTGCCTGCCCCTAATCGATTTAGTAACGGAAATAGTTTCACCCATTCTCATCCACCTTCATCTGACATGACAAGTGGTGGCGCCTGGTCAGTGTGAGTGGAGTTACAGTACTAGTTACTTTTTGGATATTTAATCACATATCTACTTTGAATATGAAATCCCGTCTTGACTAATTGTGTTACCCTGGAATATTCGGAGACCTTCATTCTCATTTTAATTTTCAAAGCTGGTATGTTTGCAACAGAATAACTTCCTCATATTCTGGAAATTTCGTTTTCCTCTACTAAGGAGTTTTAGCAACTTTTCTTTCGCAACTGATCCCTATATTTCCTCTTCATGGATGAGCAATTTTATTTATTTATTTATTTATTTTTCATCACTCTGCAACACGATATATGTACTTGCTACACAAAAATATAACATTGAATATGCCCTACACGGCATTTCTTTTACAGGTGGCTGCTCTAATTCCTTCTTTCAGAAAACCCCACGAAAAGCGAATCGCGCAGGGTATAAATTCAACAAGGCTGTAACAGCACGAGTTTTGCTATTGACCCAAGACCTGCAGCAGGACCCACTCACTCGCTAACAATAATAATATTTAAAAAAAGGAAACTAATGTACTTAAAAAATCTGCTATTCCTGTGCCCTGATGACTGCTCTTGGGAAAAGCTCGGAGATCCCACAATTGAAGCCTTTCTTTGACATTTGCCAGCAGCTCGTGAAATGCACACACCGCTTTTCCTTAAATTAGGGGCCTAGCGGCGCAGACAGTCTCTACCCTTGTCTCCTCAGTTCAAATGTTGCCAACATTCTACGTCGTCGAGGAAACAACGTCTCGCCATGACTGGTTGACAAGGAGCCTCGGCAGGCAATAAATGTGGGACCGAGATATCAGATCGGAACAACTTGAGCCATCTATTTGGTGAAAGAGATAAATGACGTGATCATGGGAGTTGGACTCGGTGAAAGCTCACCATCATTCCTTCTTTCCACTCGAAACAGACAATCGCGAGACACCAAAGCTTGTGACCCAATTTTCTTACAAACTATGATTAAATCCTAGTTGCCACAATTACAGGTTCCAATTACTATGCGTCTCGTAAGCTTCATTCTTGCAACACACACACAAACACACAACAAAAAACCTAAAAAAAGAGAGACTCGTCCACCATGGATTTTGCTACTCCATTTGTAAACTGTTGCTATTAGTCTTTCCTTTGAGTGCGTTTTTTTCGCGCGTCAGCCGATGAGTGCAGATTATTATTATGATTATTATTATTATACTATCCTATACGAAGACCACTCCTAATACAACCAGGAAACAAACGAGTCCATGAAGAATGAGGTCGACGAAAAACGATGGTGAAGTGCATGTCGTCTCGCAGTCAGATTGGGAATATGGATGAATGATAAACATCTTGTGAGTCTGTTCGTTTTTGCTCCCCGCAGGGGAGCACTGATGCCTCCAAGACGGCGCTTTCGCTGGAGGCGTGCTTGACTTCTGGATTGGGAACGTCACGAGAACGGGATGGGGAACGGTGACAAGAGTATGGGGCACGCTAGCTTCAGAAAAGGGGCCCACTTTTACATTCAGCGTACGGCTGGGTTGCGTTCACACTGGGACTGGACTCATGGCGAAGCATCCACTGTAGCCTTTGCCTGCTCGTCTGCAGCCCGCAGATCCCCTTAACTAAAGGGTAGAAATTTACTGACGGTTATCATATTTAATGGGTTCACTCTGACGCATGTCGTTTCCTTTGATATCCTTCGGTAAGACATTTATAGTATCCTGTAGTCATCATTTCTATTTTATTTTACTTATTTAATGATTTGTATGTGTATAGTAATTGTCAACCCTTATGTAAATTGCACTTGGGAAAAGTTTCAACCAACAACAACTTGACTTGAGTACCCATGTATATTAAAAAACAACAACCATTTCAGTTCAACACAAGACACAGAACTATTGGTCCAGACACTTCTTTTATGTGTGTAAATGTACACACACACACACACACACATATATATATATATATATATATATATATGTACACATAGGCATATATACTCTTTGTGAAGTGGGTATTGAATCATTACCAAAACATGGAACTCATAAAAGTGTATGCAACATACAGGGCCCACAGTCCCCCTCTTGTAAACAGAACAAATACAAATACAAAAGCATTTTGAGGAAAAAAATTACATTATCTATACAGGGTCTTGTGTGAGGCTGCATCCACTCTAAAGTATACACCAAGTCCCTAGAGGCTGTAGGGAATGGCCATGCAGCCTTTTTTGTGGGCCAAAGCCAATGGTGGCAGAGAAGTCCATGAGTTACTTGAGCCAGGCTCTACAAAACAATGACTTATTTGGCCACGTTAATATTGTCATAATTATCTTTTGGCTGCTCTGTTCATGTGGGATTGGCGAGACATACTACAGCCCATGAGCATCTCATGGATGTTGTTGTTGCCTTCTATTAGAAGGCAACGCCAAGTGTCCCCATACCCATAGCAAGATTTGTTGGCCCCAAAATATACCAAAGTGTATGCATATTATCAACCTTTACTGGCTGTGAGTGAAAACTGAAGCACAACCTGTTTTTAGACTTTGTAATAATTTATTTTTTACGATTGTTTTAGTGTTGCATGTTGAAATTGTCATAGTGAATAATATGAGCATTGTTTGTGAGTGCTGTCCGTTTCACTCTTAATTTGCATGCATTTCAATGAATGTTACATTTAGTAGAAAATCTTCTGGGCTTGGGTGAATATGTGTGGGAGCATTAGATTTGGATAATTCCCTGGGCTGATAATGCACTGCAAGCATTCTATATTGCATTTTACATAATTTGATGTTTATGCTGTAAACTATTCAAAATGAGATAATTTGGGTTCCTAGGGAATTACAGTTGTGCAGGGCTCACAAATTTCTCATTCACACACATATATACACACACACACACTTAAATGAATATTGAATATAACCATCACAGAAATATATATATATATATATATATAACCAACTGTTGCTCTGTCATCATATGAACCCAATATTAATCATGGTGGCTTTCATATTAATTTTTCCAAGTACACTCCAAACTTAAAGGGACCTCACAGTATCTCAAAATATGCTTTTGGTGCCAAACCCAACTTAGGAGGAGTGCTTAACTACAAAAGGGTTCTCAACATGAATTCTGACAAAGGACACATAACAAAAGATAAAAGGCTTTCTTCAACAAGAAGCTCCTCAACCTTTAATGCATACCAAGCCAATCAAGGCAATGGAACAAACCCCACAATTCAAAAATTAACCTTTGGCACATAAAAGGAAGTGACAACCTAGTCCTGGATTAACCCCACCAATTAGCCCTAATGACGGCGCCTAATTCCACCCAAATTAGCCCTAATCAGGTAAAGACCCTCTATTGGCCAAGCCCCCTTCTATAGTTACAAAAAAGGCACTATAATAGGTTTAGTGATGGAGCCCCGGATACAGGGGTTGCAACATTCTCTTCCTCCCAAGAGAAGATAGTAGCTCCTCATTTTTCATATTTGGACGGGAATATTCAAGGCTATCTTTTAATAGAGGCAAACGCTTTGTTTTCAGGTATCACATGGGTCTTTGTAGGTGGATTAGATGGCATTAGGTTTTGGTGTTGTTGTCCACGTGGATGAGTTTGCATGAAAACGACAACATGGCTTCAACTTGTGATTGTTTTTTGGTTTTGTGAATTTGCAAGGGAATGTAAGGGTGTGTAAGTGCATACATAAACACACACACACACACACGTTTTTACATATATATATATGATTGTTTGTGTATACATTTGTGTATTTGAGATTGTTGAATTGATATTTAACTCAGATTTTGAGTTTAAATTTTTATGCAGTTAAAGGGAGAAAAAGTATGAGGTGACAAACAAAGAAGAAAAATAAAGAGTTGTTGTGTTTAGTTCACATGTAAAACAAACGTAGAATTGAAAATTGATTAGGAATTATAAAAGAACCAAGTAATTCAGAACATTTTGACAAGTTATGTCTTATAAAACGAAGCATTATTATTTAAAAAATTGAAATAAAGCAAATTCTGTCGATGCAATATTTAATAAAAAAAAGTATTCAATCATAATGGTTTCATCACTTAAATTCACTGTTGATGCAAAAGTTTTAGTTTAAATCATGCAATACATCAATATTAGAGAATTCATCTGTTTGTTGTAAACCAGCCAAGCATATTTTTGCCTCTAAAAAAAACTCCCAATACTTCATTAAAGTATATTGAACATTTTAGACAAAGTTTTCTTAATAAACCCTCATTTACTTGTGAAGCTGTGAAAGGAAATCCATAAACGTCCCCTCAATTAAAGTAATCAAAGAAATAAATAAATATATATATATATATATTCACACATACATACATCAAAATAAACTCGAAGTCGTGAGTTGAGGACATTGCTCTACATCCCCAGCAAAGCTAGGGGACAAACAAGTGCTGAACCAGGCCTAAGATTCTAGTCCACGGCGGGGCTCCATTTTCTATGCAGCGTCTGTGCCGGCGGCACTTGGCCGCGTGGAATGTGAGGGGGCTTTGGTGGCGAGGAAGAGAGGGAAGGCGATCGAAGTGAACGAGTCGCTGGAGACAAAATCCGAAAGAGGTGCGGGATTTACGTCGTGCAGGCGGTGAATACTAGGCATGGAATTTCAGGGGGATGGAGTCTACGCACGAGTCAGGCCTTGGCGAGTCCTGGCGACGCTTGGCCGGCGGGCCTGTGGCAGGCAGGGACGGCAGCGTCTTTAATGCCGCCATTCCATTGCATATGCTCTGCTGCGGCGGAACCGCAATCAATCACCTGTCGATCAATCCAACTTTGCTTCGAATGAACGATTCATCCCCGGCTCATGATGAGCAGATTGTGGATTTCCACCACATTTGTTGATCCATGTGGGCCAGACCCTTTCTCTCCCCTTGAACTGTCACGAGGGCAGTACATTGCTGCCAAAGTACTTGTAGCTACAGCCTCAGCCGTATCTATACACTCAGGCACACAGCAAAGGTAGACCAGTAGACCCTGAAGAATAGTCGGCTGGGTAGTGGCTGGCGCTACGTGGTTTAAGGGCTACGCATTCTCACTTAATTATCCATCACTAGTCTGCTTGCCCTGCCCCGATCGAGAGTCGTAACCAAGACGTTTGCTTTTCCGCGGTAGGCTGATCTCTTGTTTATAGCTTGACATAGCTCTTATGTTAACAGTTGTGGGCGGTGGGTGAATTCCAGAAAATAATAGTGAATATAGATGCAGGCGTCTATGAGATAGAGAGAGATAGAGAACGAGAAAGAGAGACAGAGCATTGCCATTGTTTGCCTTGATCGATTGCTGTGTAAGGGTTGAGTCTGTTCAGGTCTTGTACCAGAGTGTAGAAGAGAGTGAGGCTGTGACCGAGCAAGACAACACTGAAGCTCCATTTCAGTGAGTTGTTGTCGTTTTCGACGTTTACCAAGAGGTTGCAGTATTTAAATGGTTGTGTAGTTTTCCTTGAACGAGAAAGGATTTGAGGAAAAATTTGTCGACATCAATCGCGGAGTGTTTTGTTTCCTGCGTTCAGAATTGAGGGCATGCTTTCACCTTGATTGGAAGATTTTGAGAAAATCGTTGCCGGGGGAGGCTATTGCAAATTCTGCAGAGAGGGGTAGGGGAAGGGAGTGAGAGAGATTGAGAGATATGACTTCGAGGGAAGAAAAGGAGATCACGAAGGGGAATCAGACCGACCTAGGGGTGCATTTCAGAGGTGTGAGGAAACGTCCCTGGGGGCGGTTCGCAGCTGAAATTCGGGATCCATGGAAGAAGACGCGCGTATGGCTGGGAACCTTTGACACTGCGGAAGGGGCCGCGAGAGCTTACGATACTGGTACGCTTTTTTGGAGCTAACCAACCTGGTCTTGCGTTTCTTTGATGCCCAATTTGCGCCATTTTCACGTGTCTTGATTTCTGAGTACACTTGGAACTGTTATCTGCAGCTGCAAGGGCATTGCGGGGGTCTAAAGCGAAGACCAATTTCACTTGCCCGCTCTCCAGCGAGGATCAGAGCACGAGCCAGAGTTCCACTTTGGAGTCATGGTCCACGTCGCCTACGAGCAGCCATAATGTCCACCACCCTTACCGCCAGTACCAGCATCTCCTCCCAAAGCAACAGCATCCCAATTGTGGATCCTCTGCAGCCTTGGACACAGCCTCATGGCGCTCGTGCCTGGACCTCAACCTTTCGGCTATGGCACCGATAGACCATCACGTTCAGACTCAAGACATCGCTCAGGCTCAGAATATGAGGATTAATGTCGGACACTCCTACGTGTCACGTGGTGAAGTCGCTGAAGTTGCGCACTCCACCAAGCGTCCTTCTTCAACTCCGATCCAAACCCTCTTTCAAGAATCCCTTATAAGTTTGAAGAAACCCCTCATTCATTCTGTCCCAGCTGTCGATGTCTCGGTCTCGCAAGTTGAATGGTCATTGGGTAATTCCAGTGATCGAAATGGAACAATTGTTACTGGATCTGTAACCACGCCCGAAATGAGAACTTCCTCTAGCGATTGCGATTCGTCCTCTTCCGTAATTTTGAACACCGAGAGCCCTGAAACGAAGCCTACATCGCGAGGAAGTTCCATTTTGTTGGATTTGAATTTTCCTCCTTGCCATGACGAGCAGTCTGCTGTCACAGCCGCCGACAATTTTTGCTTGTCTCGGCCACGCATTACAGCTTTTTTTTTGAAGAGTACTGGAAGAGTTTAGGATTAGTGTAAGTTAGCTGCTGCGGCACAATTGAGGTTCGGCCACGTAGGGTTGCAGGCTTAAAGATGTATGCTTTACTTTGCAATTCATTCTTAAAGATACAGACCATGGCTTGTGTTACACCATTCACGTGTAATGCTCGCCCTCACCTAGAATTATTCTTGTGCGTGTTTGGATTTAATTGCTCCTCTCTCCTCTTCATTTGCTTCACATACCATACCTCTGACAACGAGTTTTGGTGATCTTTGCCGTTACGAACTTATGGTTGCAGGTTTGGAGTATTCGATGTACTGATTGATCTGTTTTCAGTGAGCGTGAGAATCAAGTGTGTTGTTGACTGTCGTGAATGATGATTTCTACGATTCTGTTGGTGAAAATCAGTTGATCGCAGATTGTGTTTACAATCTGTTTCAACCACAGCATTGATCATACTGGACATGAAATGTTAATTACTTCATATATTGAAGTGTGCTGCAGAGAGATGGAGCGCGTAAACTGCAGGATTTTCAGTATCCACGCGGCAAAAGTTTTTAACCACTGTTTTCATGTTTGTGGCATTGGACGCAGTTCATTTGCTGTTGGATATCTGATATCAATATTGCATGAACATGTGAACTTTGAATTTGCTGATGGGCTCGAATCAAATTCCTACTTAGACCCCCTTGCGTTGTCATTGTCGGTGATTGTTCTAAGCCATGGATGGAATGTCTACTTCTGTTGATTGCTGAACATCTAGGGTTTAACATTGATGTGAATAGTGAAGATAAGCGGGAGTTCTGTTGAGTTCCCAATGTGTTGCATATTGCTCCACACCTTTTCGATCAAAATCGAAATGAGTTGTCACTGGTTTTTCGATTGCATGCATGCAATGTTTTCGCTACCATGGTTGCAGATTTGGAGCTTTGGATGTAATTCATTCTGCGATAATGGCAATGTTGTAAAACCGGGTTCTCCATCGTCACAAACGGTTCATTCTCAGACCACCTCGAGCCATGTGCGAACAGGTGACCCATCGAGTGCATGACATACTACAGCAGGCACTCGGTTGGTCTTTCACGAAGTATCCACGGCGGTATGAAACAGTGCAGGATGTGCATTCGGTTGTGAGAGCGCACGGATCATCAATGATATAATACGACTACGTGCAACCACAACTGCCACTTGACGGAATTCAACCCATGCGAGGTGCAGATCACCTCCTCAGCGAACTGGATAGTACTGCAGCATAGGCTGAGGGGATTCAGAGGGGACTAGTGATTAGCTACAGTTCTTGCTTCAACCAGTCAGGAGTTGCAGAGTCCGCTTAGATCAGCGATTCTCCAAAGCTGACACTGCGCTGAATCGATGCCCAGCTTCTCGGTTACGCACCCCCTTCCCACGCACAAGAGCAGCTTCTAGCTTTCTTCCTCTACCTTGTCATCGTCACAGACGTACGGAACCATCGATCGGATATAGAGGGCTGGATCTGGCTCCCTACTAACTGAAACAGGACGTTGGAAAACGCGCCGCCGAGTCCCACTCGTGCATACCTTTTTTTCTTTTCTTTTTGGCTTCTAAAGGCAATTGCGTTTCAGAAACCCAGCCAAACATAGCAGATATACTTGCCGCTTGGCCTGCACTTTTGGTCCCTGATGGGCGATCCCGGCTACGCATGGAGGGGAAAGGATCGACGACGGGCCGCGGCTCCATCCGATGCCGTCGGGTCACGATGGCGTCAGAGCATGAACGAGAAAGAAAGAGATGCCAGATCTTAAGCATTTGTGCTCCCCACCCACTTTACCTTATTCGTCGGAGGAGGGGTATAGCGGCGGAAAGGAAGGAAGGCAGCAAGCAAGCTCCCCACTACACTACACTAGCCTCTTCTTCCTCCTCTAGGTGGGCCATCTTCCCCCCTCTCCTGGGCCTCACGCTTTCAGTGCTTGTGTGACAAGCGTGACGTGTCGCCTTCGCCCACCATGATGTGGCATGACACGACCGCATCGCTTACTGGGTCCTCGCCACCCCTTGTCATGATTTCTTGATATATATATATATATATTATTGGTTATTTCACCTTTGTTTTGGGGGTTTGCCCTTTCTCGGAAGCTAATGGCATGTCCTTATATTCCCGTAAGGGCATCACCACCATTGGTACCAATGGTAGTATCAAATGCCTTGGCCTCAAAATGAGCCCCACTGTAGCCCATTCAACGACTTTAGCAAGGCCGGTCCTAATATGATAAAGAGTTTTCCTAGTAGCTTGCCATGGACACTCCTTCCTTCTGTTGTGGCAGAGGCATCTAGATTATGACCAATAGTGGACTTATAGTGAGGGAGGGGAGGGGGTGGAGGTGGGTAGAGGCTGGAGTGGAGTTCTGGAGGAGCTATTGAAGGGCGAGTAGACGATGTTGAGAGTAGCTTCTGTTGGCCACCCTGCCCAATGGTTGGAGATTGCTCCATGCCTCCCCTTGCTAGGGCACAATGAGTCCACAACATCCATCCCTTGCTCAACTCCGTTGGTGCCAACAAGTGGAGGTGACCTAGAATGAGGATGACGAGGTTTATGTTGTTGGGATTCAAATTGCCAACCTTTTTGGTATAAGACTGTCTATTTGGAATTTTAACCATCAATTTTTTTAGATGTACATTTTACTTTTCTAATGAAATAAGGAGATAAATAATTGTTGACAAATACGAATAAAAATAGATTGTTGTGGTTTTTTTCAAAACACTATTTTATAATCCTTTAAACTAATATATCTATAGAACTCGAAGCATAATTTATAATTCATAACTTTAATTGTATCATAGTTTTTTTTATATTTATTTAAAATAATTTATTTTATGTCTATAAAATTATATATATATAAATATTTTTTATTTAAATAAATATTTTTAAAAATTAAATAATATAAATTCTAAATACTTTAAATTTAAAAAGATTTTAAATATTTTTTTATAAAAAATTCTATATAAAATATATTTTAATATTTATATATTAAAAAATTTACAAAAAAATAAAATAAAAAATTATAATTTGAATAAATAAGATGCATATATATATATATATATGTTAGATAGAAGGTAAATGTAAGTAGATTTGATATTATCTTGTGGCTAAGCATTTTGAAAGCTTCATAGATGAGTATTTGACTTTATACATGTTTATAATTGATTGATAGGTTAGAAACATGGCCAACAAGTTAGGCATGTGTTACACGTATAGGTAGCTTGGAGTACAAGCTAATGATGTAGCACACATATAAGAAACTTATCTTGCAAGTTAAGACATGTGTCTCGTAAATTGGACACATATTAGAAGTCCTATAAGATGTCACCATGTAACTCCTAGTTGGAAAGTATATATAGAGGTAAGAATGAAGCCATCTTCATTCCTGTCAAGTCCTTTTTAGACATTAATCTTGTTTTGAAACTTTTTAGTCTTCTTGTCTTTAATAAAAGCCATTGTGATTTAATATATTACTATCTTTGACTGATTTTTTAGTCTTTTCAAGTAACATAAGAGTATATTCAGATTTTATTTCTTTGAAATTCATGTCCTTGATAGTTTGTCAAGAATGCTAATTTATTGTCTTTGTTTTGTGTTAGAAGTGAGTGGATTATCTCACTTCTGTTGTTGTATTTTGAAGATTGTAAACTACATACCTTTAAACTCACCTTTAATTTCTTAACATTGATTTTTTTTTTAAAAGAAAGTTGACTACCTCTCTTTACGGAAACTTTCATTTGATATTAGAGGTTGCGAATTATTCTCTTTTAATTTGACTTTTATTTATTTTTTAATTTTTTATAGAAGAAAAAATTATAGATACTATTTTTAGTAAAAATAAAAATAGATTTATAATTATTAAAAATCTTCACAAATTTGTCAATACTCTAAAAGTAAAAAACTCACATATCTTTAACTTCATACATAGAAGTAGTATTTCAACACCTATGAAAGAGGTCAACAAGAAAATTCAAAGTCTTTGCCAAGAAGTTATGCAATTAAAAGAAGCAAGTAGATCAAAATCACAACTAAATTTAAGAAGTCTTGCTATTTCAAATATGAGAGAGGCAAGTATTAATGTGCTTAATAAGTTTGATGGAATAAAATCAAAATTTTGAGGATTCCTATAATAAGTAAAGCTATATCTAAGGTTGCATCCTTCTCAATATCCTAATGGATTTATTCAAGTTAAACTCATAAGTGCACTTTTCTTTAGAAGTGTTCTCTCTTAGTTTGTACTTTTGATGGAAAAAGATTCATGTCTTTTTTATGATCTAAATTCATTTTTAGAAGTATTTATAGTAACTTTTGGAGAAAGTGATTGAAAAAAGATAATAGAGATCAAATTTATAACTTTACAATAAAGATGACTTTTAGCCACCATATATGCTGCAAAATTCTAAAATCTTACTTGCTATATAAATTAGAATGACAAAACTCTTATTAATCAAATTTGATATGTATTAAAAGATAAAGTCAAAGATTTATTGTTTACAATGCCAAAAACAAGATTATTAGAGGAATTTATTACTCAAGCCATTGCATGTAACAATTGACTCTTTCAAAGATGCCAAGAAGAAAGGCTTGGTTAAAGACGTACAAATAAAACTATGGTAATAGCTTCTAAGTTCAGAGAAGCTTATTCATCAAGACTAAAGCTTATACAAATTTATACAATACATTTCAAATTTCTTATTAAGCAAAAAAAAATTCAACAATGTTAAGAAGATTTGTGCTTATATTGTAGAAAATCTATGAAACATGACCAAACTATCTCAAAAGACCAAGATCCTTCTATTTTACACCAACATAAAGTCTCATTACAAAATAAGATAAAACAAAGTTCAACAAAACTACACAAAATAAGCCATAAAATACAAATAGGCAGATGAAAACAAATAGAACATAATTAAACAAAAAGATGCAAAACCAAATTTTACTACGAGAAAAGGTCTGAATCCATATTTGACCAGATGCCCCAAAAGACTATGGCCAGTCTTATTTAAACCTTATTCTACCATCCTAGATTTTTAGGAATGTTCCTATGTGGTAGATCCCACCTAAATAATTGCATTAAATTTCTTTTCTAAAAGATTCTATAATAGGTCAAACCTAGATAACCGCCTTAAGTCTTTTTTAGAAGGTTTTATGGTGGATCCTATCTAAATA